TGACAAAAGAAATATAACAACTTATTTTAGCTTTAAACGTTTATAACTTATTAACTATAAATGCTAGAAATATAATTTTTGATTTATTTTAATCCTTGCATTTTGAAATCATCCTATAAAAATTTATTAGCCAATTAATAATGCCAATTTTGTATAATATAAAGATCTATATTAAAAATAGTACTTAATGACTTTTGAGCTTAAAAAACTTTTTTAAGCAGACTAGCTATCATAAAATTAATACTAGATTCCGATTCTCCTCTGTGTGGTGATTCCAACAAGCTAAATTTCTTTCAAATTGAACCATCCAATCAGGAGTTATTGCGTAGCAAAGATTAGCATTTTACTATATAAAATTGGTTAGACTTATTTTTTATAGTAAAATGCTGATCTTTGCTGCGCGATAACTCCTAATTGAATGGTCTGATTTGGACGAAATTTAGCTTAGAATCATCATGCAGAGGAGAATCAGAATCCAGTATTAGTTTTATGATAGCTAGCCTGTTTAAAAAAGTTTTCTAAGCTTAAAAGTCATTAAATACTATTTTTAATGTAGATCTTTACATTATACAAAATTGGCATTATTAATTGACTAATAAATTTTTATAGGATGTTTTTCAAAATGCAAGGATTAAAATGAATCAAAAATTATGTTTCTAGTATTTATAATTAATAAGTTATAAGTATTTAAAGTTAAAAATAAGTTGTTGCATTTCTTTTGTCAACCACTGTATAAAATAACTAAGTTTTAGACAATTAGGTATAATATAAATAGATCTTATGATTAAATTATTTATAAAAATGTATAAATAAGTCAAAAAGCATAAAGTAAAGGTTGCAATAGATGGGTGATGGAAAAGAAAATAAAAATCTTTTTTTATAGACTTTTTATGAAATTCAAAGTGAATTTTACTCTTAATAAAAGTTTTAAATTTATCATTAATTATAATTAAAATGCATATTTGAAAAAGAATAAAATTTTACATAAAAAATTGTAATTGTAATATTTTAATTATTATATAAATTACTGTTTTATATAATTTTAAAAATACAATAAAAATCAATAAAAAAAAATTAATTATAATAAAATAAAGAAATAACTTTTAAATATTTTTATTTAATACTTTTTTTTTTTTTTTTAAAGTTTGGTAATTTTGTGATATATATTTATATTAATACAGTATTTAATAAATTACACAAATAAATATTCAAATAAACAAAAAATATTCAAAAATTAATAAAATTATAAAAAGTTATTACTTAATGAATATTAAACCAATCAAAATAAAAATTTATATGTAAGTAATTTCAGATATATAAAAAATTTTATTTAATATATAGTAAGTAGTTTATTTTAACTAAAGTGATCAAATTAATTTGTGAAGTTAAAAAAGTATAATTTAGTAAAATTATAAAAAAAATTATTTCTACATGAATATTAATCCAATCAATATAAAAATTAGGTTAAATAGTATTGAATCTATTAAACAACTTTTACTTAAAGATAAAAGGTAATTAACTTTGACCAAAGTACTCAAATTAACCTATAAAGTTAAAAAAAGTGCTGTGATATTAATAAAATTATAAAAATACATATTACTATATAAATATTAATTTAATCAATATAAAAATTAAGTATAAATAGTATCAAATCTACTGAATAATTTTACTTAGAAATAAAAGGTGATTAACTTTAACTAAAATGTTCAAATTAATCTATAAAGTTAAAAAAAAAGTGTTGCAATGTTAATAACGTTATAAAAATATATATTACTATATAAATATTAATCCAATCAATATAAAAATTAGGTATAAATAATATTAAATCTGCTGAATAACTTTTATTTAGAAATAAAAGGTAATTGATTTTAACCAAAATATTTAAATTTCCTTGTGAAGTCAAAAAAAGTGTGATTTATTTAATAATGTTACAAAAAAATTATTTTTACACAAATATTAATCTAATCAAAATAAAAAATTAGATATAAATAGTATCAAATCTGCTGAATAATTTTTACTTAGAGATGAGAAATAATTGACTTTAACTAGAGTTCCGAATGAGTTGAGTTGAGTCAAGTTTAAAGATTAACTCGACTCGACTCTCTTTTTCGAATTAAATTGAGTCAAATTTATTTTACAAAATCTTTCAATTTGATTTGATTCGAGTTATATAAATTTTAAACTCAACTCGATTTGATTTGACTCAATTTTAACTCGATTCGACTTTGAAAAAAAATAATAAAAAAAAACGAAAAGATCAGAGGGGAGAGGGAGAAAAAAAGAGCAAACGATTCGTTATTGTTTAAGTCAAACAATTCAGGTCATCATTTAAGTCGAACAATTCAGGTCATTGTTTAAGTCGAATGATTTATTATCGTTCTTCTTGAACGATAAAAAAATATCGTTCAAGTTGAATGATTCGTTATCATTTTTCTTGAATGATAAAAAAATATCGTTTAAGTCAAACGATTCATCATCATTCTTCTTGAATGATAAAAAAATATTATTCAAGTCAACTCGAGTCAACTCGAATCAAGTCGAGTTTAAATCGAGTTGAGTTAAATATTTAACTCGACTTGAATTTAATTTGATTCGCAAATCATCAAGTCAAAAAAACATAAACTTGATTCGATTTAAACTCAACTTGGCTTATCTGACTCATAAGTTAATTCAACTTATCTGGAACTCTAACTTTAACTAAAATGCTCAAATTATCCTGTGAAATTAAAAAAAGTCTACACTATTAATAAAGTTACAAAAATATATATTACTACATGAATATTAATCCAACCTTAATAAAATTTTATATACAAATAGTATCAAATCTGCTAAATAACTTTTATTTAGAAATAAAAGACGATTGACTTTAATTAAAATGCTTAAAATTTATCATGAATCTCAGTATTAATATTTATAAAAAAAATATTAAATACAGTCATTCTCCTTTATAGTCACACTTCTCAGAACTAAAAATAAAATATGTGATTATAATAAAAATTACTAAACAGGGAGATTTTTTATATATTTTTACTAAATGTAAGTTCTGAAAGGGTGTAACTATAAAAACACTATGATTATAAAGGGTTTTTTTATATAATATTAATAGGTATTAGTTTTTACGAAATGTATACTTATAATAAGAAATTTATATAATATAATTATACAGGAGGTAACTATAGAGAGGAACAACTGTATATATAAAAATTAAAAATCTACAAAAATAAAAAAATTATATTTAGTAAGAGTTCTTATAAGTTCAAGTATTTAAGTTTAAAAATAAGGTTATTTTTTAAAGAATATGTTAAATAAAATAAGTGTTTTTTTATTAAAAAAAGAAAAAAAAATTGAAAAATTATAATTAATCATGCAACTATAATTAATTGTTAAACTGTAATTAATTATTAAATTAAAATTTGCATATCATTTCGCATATAATTTTTTTATAAAAAAAGTAAAAAAAAAATAACAAAATAAATTAAAGTTTTAAATTAAATCAAATATTATATATTATATTTAAATAATATAATTAAATTAGATTAAATTAGATCTAGTCAGGTTAGGTTAAGTCAAATAAAAATTTAAATCAGGTCAGATTTTTGTTTGATTTGACCTGATTTTCTCAGTTTAGGTAACTTGATTGACTTGATCTGAACTGACTTATTTAAAGCTCTAGTTTTTATAAAAAGAAAGAAAAAAAAACATTAGAAACATTTTTAGAGAAGCCTACTTATCCTAAAAAAAGAGAAAAAATAAAAAAATAAAGAAAAAATAAAATTAAAAAAAATAATATTATAGATACTTAATATTAATGATTTTTAATGTTTAAAAGTATTAAAATGTCAAGTCACTGATATTAATACTATAATGAATTATTTGGTATATATAATAAATAATTTGTTATAGCATTAACAAAGATTTTTATAATAAAAGCCTAATCAGTTAGATCAGCTACTTCATTATATCAAGGCATGACTGTATTATACTTTTAATTAGTTTAATTAGTTCAAAATTGCAAATATAATTTATTTTTTAAACACTTATATTTTAATAAATTTATATTTACTAATTATTTTATTTTCTTTTTTTTTAGAAATTTTTTGCTTTAATTTTTTATTTATTTATAAACATTTTTTTTTAATTTAGTTTTAATTTTTAATTTTCTTTTACTTTTTCTATTTTTTTTTTTTTTTATTATGTTTTGAAATGAAACTTTTATTTTAAGTAGTAAAACTCAATTCATATTAAATATCAGTTGGAAACTCAATTTTTTTTTTTGAACTGTGAAGATATTAATATTTGAATACTATTTATAATGATAGTAACAAATAAATCCAATTTTATTAATTAAAACAAATCCATTAATTCTTTTATTTTTAATAAAAATCAATTAATATTATGCAAAATTTATATATTGTTGATTAATAATTCCTTATATATCAAAAAAAATGTTAAAAATAATTCTAAAAAAAAAAAGTAATATACGAACTTATTTAAAATAATATGAAATTTTTTTATAAGCTTAACATCTTTTCTTTTACGTTAATTGGCTAAAATTTATCATGATAAGTGAGATCGTTCAAGCATTTTCTTTATTGGGTATAATTTGAGCAGTTGCCCTTTTATTCTTTTTATTAGTTTTATTTCGCTTTATGAAGAGAAGTATTAATTGCAATTCTTATTTAAATTGATCATGGTCATCTCAATTACTATGCTAAAATGCTTAAAGAATAATCACATTAACAATTGTGAAACCTCAAAGCCCTTGAGGAAGTGAAAGGTAAAAAAAATTGTGATTCTCTATGATCACGTGTAATCAATTTTTCGCGTCCCTATATCGATATCAAAAAAATTTTTAGATAAAAGAAAGTCTGATGATCTACGCAGTAACCAATCACCTGGGTTTTTTAATTTTGATCAAATCAGATTGACTACGATAGACAAGCTCAAAAAGTCCCAGTAAGCCACCAATTGTTTTAAAAATTCCAATCGAGAGAGATAAAATGCGAACTGTACTTTCTCGTATCGGGGCCTTTTGTTTATTTAATCATGTTCCAACTGCAGCATTAGCAAGACAAAATTGTCATTTATTAAATTCACAGCTGGCTGCTGTTACTACCATATTCACACGTCCTCGTTATTATACTTCTGGACCTCAAGGTCATATTAGAGATGCTACTGACTCTGCTTTTTCCAAAAAAGAAAAGGCTGTTGAAGACCAATGGATGCGTTCTCATGTAATTAATTGAAATTAATATTATTAATTAACAATTAAAAATAATCTAACAACTTCTTTTTTATATTTATAGGATGCTGAGAAAATTAAACATCTTCGTGAAGAAATTGCTAAACAAAAGGAAAAATTGGCAGAAATTGAAGGAAACCTAGATGAACTTCATAGTAATAATAAAAAGGATTAGAACAAAAATTTTTTTAAAAAAAAAATTGTTTGTTGAAAATCCCTTAATTTGTTAAATTTTGCAATTCATCTTTTTATTTAGTGGAAACCTTTTCAATAAAAGATATTTTAAAATAGAATTGAACACAGATTATCTGTCAAATTTTTGTATTTTACATTTTAAAATAATTAAATATTGTGATATAAATATCTTAATCAACTCTTCAAAACAATTACCTATTGAAATTAATGATTAAGTTAACTAATCCTCAACAATTTCTTCGGTTTCTTCTACAACTTCTTCAATCCATTCTTCAATAATTTCAACATTCTCATCATCATCTCTTCTAGGGATAATTTGCACACCTGCTCTTTCTTTTTCTTCTGCTAATTCCTTTTCAACGCGTTTACGCCAAGCATTCCACTCATCAACAAGGCGACGACGATGTGCCAACAATTCTTTAGATACCGAAGTTTGTGCAAGGGCGTCTTCTTCTTCAAAAGCTTTAGAGTAATCTCTTATGTTCTTTTTGATTTTCTTTTTAGCGTCACTTGATAATAGACTCTTTGGACGAGGTCTCCATAACAATTGCTTAAATTTATCTAGCAATTGTTTTTGCAAAAGTGCTCCTTTAAAATCCCATAAAGAATATCCATTTTCCATCTAGAAATTAAGTATGAAAAATTGAATTGATAATCCTTCTTATAGGAAGTAATTTCCAATTAAATTACTTACTGAATGTCTCCAAAAACTAGCACTAGTGATCACATAACGTCCAGTAGGGTCCCATTCAATATCAGTAACACCGTAGTGCTCCTGAGTAGACATTAGCTGTATAGAGGCAGCTGGGTCATTTTTTGATCCTTCCTTCTGATCACCAATAGTATCAAAATCCAAATCCCAAAACTCCAAGTCAAATACAGCTGTTGAGCGAAGAGTTGCCAAAATTACATGTCGACCACGCGGTGACCAATAAATGGCATTAGAAGTTTTCTTTTCCAATGTTTCTTGGAAAAAAAAAAAAGGTGATATATAAAAAAGTTTTCACTACAAATGTTACGTACAATGTAATAATTCTTTGGTAACTTACTAATTAGTTTGAAGTTAGCCGTGCCAACTTTGTCTCCACCTTTACCAGGTTTAGGTTTCTCAAGATAATAAAATGAGACATTAGTTCTCACGCCTTGTGTTGACTGTCCATAATTAGGGTCATTTGTTGTAATTATTGCGAAACGTTCACCCTTAGGTTCCCATGCAAAAGCAATCACAGTGTCCTTAACCTCAATGACTTCAACAGGAATATCTTTCTCACGGACCCTAAATATTTCAAGGTTTGCGAAAGTGGATTTTTTGGTCTTTGTGTGTCGATCAATTTTAACACACAAGAAATCTCCATTTGATTGCCAATGCATCTTACACTAATATAAATTAAATAATAATATAATGAAATAAATATAATCTTGAATTTATCTTTAAAAATTTTCATTTACTAGACAAAACTTACGTCTTTAACATTAACCAAATTTCTTGTTCGTACAATCTCTTTGGATGGAATATTTAGTAGCGTGACACGAGCAGGTTGATTGCCAATTTCAGGTGTCCAGTAACTTAGCATTTCCTCTCTATTCTTTTTGTCACCTGCGTTCTGTTTTTCTCTTTCTTTATCAAACGCGGGAGCCCATTCAAAATCTTCTACTCCTTCAACTTTATAACTTTTCTTTCCAACCAATCCCATTGAGGGTGTTTCGTATACAGAAATCTGTTGCTTTGGCGTAACCCTGGCAAAATATTTATCTGATGGAGACCATTTAAACATTGGCCATGTGATTTTATTAGGAGCACCATCAGTCGACGTTGAAGAAGGAAATGAACGCAAAAGGTTTCCAGTTAAAACATCCCATATAATAATTTGATGTCCTTCATCTTCGGGTCCAAATGGAGTACCTATGCCACCATTTGGCCCAAGAGAGATAGACTCATTACTCCATGTAACGAGAAAGCGTTCATTGGGCGAAAAATCTATAAGTTTGACGCCCGGATGAACGAACCTAATGATCTTGTTCCAGCTAGGCCCTCCCCATAAAGCAATCCCCTGACGATGAAATGTAGCTAAGTAAGTTCCCAATGGTGACCATTGAACATATGTTTCAGTCCAATTCTATTATAAATAATATAAATTTAATAATGATCTCGAAAAACATGAAATTACAGAAATAATCCTTACGACACGTTTATGCTCTTCTTCTGGAGGTTCAGCCTTCTTATTCCATAAAATGCTCACATCATCTCCACGGTAAAGCACGAATTGATCACGTGCTTGCGAATCAGTAAGCCAGCTTCTTAAATGTTCCTATAATAGTCACGAATTATAAAATTTACGTCTTTTTTTTGAATTATCCCATTAAAAAAATTTACATACTTTTTCAACAAATTTTTCTTCTTCAGGTTCTTTGTATTCTTCTTCAATTTGTGAATATTTTTCAACATCTGTAAATCTATTTACAGCAAGACAATGTGTTTTATCCATTGAATAATTATCATAATTTTTTATAGCCAAACTTGCTTGTTCGGGTGTTTCAAATTCAATGAAGAGATATCTAGAAACGTTAAACTTCATTAAATAAAAATTGTTTTAAAATCAAAGTAAATAATTTATTAACAAACCCTTTAGAAGTCGATTTTCCAGTATCTGGATCCGTGTCCATTGGCATATTAATTCCATTTTCTTTAATATCTCCAGCATTTTTAAAAATTTTCCTTATAAATTTTAATAATTTTTCTTGTTTGCTTTCATCAACTATAGGAACATTATCCACTACTATAATTGTATCAAAACCTTCTTCATAAGGAACTTGATATTTAGATTCGATATCAGAAAAGTCGATTTCATCTTCGGTTTGTGGAAGTCTTGAAATGTCAAATCCTAACATTTTCGAATTGATTTGTAAAAAAATTTTTTTTTGTCAGCGCGTGTAATTAGTCAGATCTTTTTATTTACACTTTGTGATTTTCCTTAAAATTAGACCCGGGTTTGGGTGTGGCGGTGTGTTTATAATTCTGGTAGAAATTATGTTATATTTTATAGAATCATTAAATAAAAAATAATTCGTAAAAAAAAAAAACTGCGCTCTATATATACTCCATTGCTGAATTATAATTTATAATATTTTAAACTTGAATATTATTTGATTAGATTAGATTATTAATTTATTATAAATATTAATTGATCTTTCTTATCAGAAGTATTAATTTTACATTTTATAATTAATTGAATATTTTGAATATTATATAATAAATTAAAAGTTTTTAAAATTAAAAACAATAAATTAAATATTCTAAAGTTAGAGAGATAGATATAGGCATTTTGCATAAAAGAAAAAAAGTTTCAAAAAAATTGTTTAAGTTAATATTAAATCTGAACTTATTTTACATATTAGCTTAAAATAAAAAATTTTTTTAGTGATTTCTCCTTTCTACTATAAACATCTATATCAATTTTACAAATATATAACAATTTATATTTATTAAAATATTAAATTATTACTTATATACTATTTCATGATATTTAACTACTTAACTTTAATTATAATTCTTAATTATAGTTAAAAATATTATAACAAATTTTTATAATATTTAGCTATTTGACTAAATATCAATTAAATTTTAATCACTAATCTTAGTTAATAATTTTAACTAATTAACAAAATAACTAAAAATTAGATATAAATTCAATTGTTTTATTTTTACTATTTCTTTTATCTATAATAATCTATATTTAATAAAATATTTATAAAACTTTAAAATTTAATTATATTGATATATTAATATATTATAATAATTAATCTGTAAATAAATAAATCAAAATTTAAAATATTGAAAATTCTAAAAAAAGATAATATTAAATAATCTTAAATGATTTATATTATTAATTTAATATAATTTAATATATTTATTTAAAATAAGATTTAAATTTTACAAGAATATATATTATAATAATTATATTTTACATTTTGATAAAATTAAAGGATTATTTGCATTATATTTTAATATAATTTAAGTTTTTTTAAATTTTTTTAATTATTAATAAATTTTAAAATTTTAATTATATACTAATATTATCAATAATAAAAATAATATATTATTTAATAATTTATAATATTGATATTTTTTGTAATTATATTTTGATTTTTAAAGTAAAAAATATATAAAATATATACTTTTACAATTAATAATAATAATAGTTTTATTTATAATAAATATATAATTTTTATTTTTTAATAAAATTTTGATTTTTGATTTTTTAATTATATATTAAACATTAGATAATTTATTTTAATAAGGATAGCAAATGATATTATCTAAAGATGACTTCATAACTTATAAATTATAATTAAAGTTTTAGATTTAAGATGTAATTATTATAAATTTAAAAAATTAATTTCACAATATCTGCAAATTTATAATATACAATTAATTTATAAATTTATAATTAATTTACTAGTTTATAATTAATCTGCTATACATATTATAATAATTATTAATTACATAAATACATAATTTATAATTTTGATATAAAAATGTGAATTTATTGTGAGAAAATATATGTGTAATAAATTTTATTAGATTAAATAAAAGATTGTTAAAAAATATTTATAAATAAAAAAAATTTTTTTTAAAAGTTTAACCTGCATAAAAAAAAAAAACTAATAAATATTTCTTATAATTAGCAAAAAAATCATTGTTTCACCTTAATTATCTTTTAAGAATTATTCTGAAATTTAATCAACAAAATAAAGAAATATTTATAAAATATTCTTTTCAATTAACAATAAAACATCTGTTTTTACTTTAATTCAGATTTATTATTAAAATTTTATTAATTTTTATTTTAGATAACAATAATATATCTTAGTATATAAATTAATTATATAATTATGATTTATTTTAGATTAAATAATCTTAAAATTTAATTAGAAATTTTTACTTATGATTTAAATCATAAGGTAAACTAATATTAGTTTTTTTTTTAAAAAAAAATTTTAATTCAATAATTTTTAAATATGACTTATTTTTTTTAATTTAAGAATTTTACTATTTAAAGATTTTAGAATAATTTATAAGGTAAGCTAATATTAATATTTTTTAAAAATTAAAAAATTTTAATTAAGAAATTTTATAATAAAACTTACTTTTTTAATTCAAAAATTTTATTATTTAAAGATTTTATATTAATTTATAAGGTAAGTTAATTTAATATTTTTTTTTTTTTAAATTAAAATAATTTTAATTAAAAAATATTATAATAGAATTTACCTCTAATCTAAAAATTCTATAGTTTAAAGATTTTATATTAGGTTATAAAATAAGTTAATATTAATATTTTTTTTAAAAAAATATTAATTAAAAAATTTTTTATAATAAAACTTATTTTTTTAATCTAAAAAATTTTATAGTTTAAAGATTTTAGATCAATCTATAAGGTAAGTTAATTTTAATATTTTTTTTTTTTTAAATTTAAAAAATGTTTAATTAAAAATTTTTACAAAAAATAAGTATTAGTTATTTTTTTTTAAAAAAAAATATATATATTCTTTATATAAAAACTTATCTTCAATTTCTTGAAGAATATTAAAACCTATAAAAAAAATAAACAATTAGTTTTCTTTTTTATTTTTTAAAAATCTAACTTTTTATTCCTTTATAGGAATTTATTTTAATTCTAAAACTTAAAAAACTCTGAAATCTATAAAAATTTAGTTTTTTTTATTTTTTAAAAAAAAATCTAATGAATTTTTTCTTTCTTTATAGGAATTTATCTCTGATTTCAAAGCTTAAAAAAACTTTAAAATTTATAAAAAATAAGCATTAATTAATTTTTTATATATTTTTTCTTCTTACCTTTAATTCTAAAATTTAAAGAATTTTGAAATCTACAAAAAAATAAACATTAATTTTTTTATTTTTTTTTAAAAAAAATCTCACACTTTTCCTTTTTTTATAAGAACTTATTTCTGATTTTAAAATTTAAAAAAACTTCAGAATCTACAAAAAGTAAGTGTTAGTTTTTTTTAAAAAAATCTAATGTATCTTTTCCTTTTTTTATAAGAACTTACTTCTGATTTTAAAGTTTAAAAAACTTCTAAACTTAAAAAAAATTAGCATTAATTAGTTTTTTATTTTTTAAAAAAAATTTTAATACATTTTTTTCTATAGAAACTTATCTTTAATTTTAAGGCTTAAAGTTAAAAACTTTAAATTTAACAAAAGGTAAGTATTAGTTAATTTTTTTATTTTTTATTTTTTAAAAAAATTCTAACATATTCTTCCTTCTTTTTATAATAACTTATCTCTAATTCTAAAGCTTAAAAAACTTTGAAACTTATAAAAAGTAAGCATTAGTTTTTTTATTTTTAAAAAAATTCTAATATATATTTTTTTTTACTTTCATAGAAATTTACTTTCAATTCTAAAGCTTAAAGAACTATAAAATTATAAAAGTAAGTATTAGTTTATTTTATTTTTTAAAAAAATCTCATACCCTTCCTTTTCTTCATAAGAATTTACCTTTGATTCTAAGACTTGAAAATACTTTGAAACTTATAAAAGATAAATATTAATTTTTTTATTTTTTATTTTTTAAAAGTAATTTCATACTTTTCATATTATTCTTTTCTTTTATAGGAACTTATATCTGATTTTAAAGCTTAAAAAATTCTAAAACTTATAAAAAAATAAGTATTATTAGTTTAATTTTTTTTTTATGTTTTTAAAAAAAAAATTTTATACACTTTTTTCTCTTTATAAGATTTTATTTCTAATTTTAAGACTTGAAAAAAACATTAAAATCTACAAAAAATAAACATTAATTAAATTTTTTTTTATTTCTAATGCATTCTTCTTATCTCTATAGAAATTTATCTTCAATTTCTAGATTTAAAGAACTTTAAATCAATCTATAAAGTAAGTTAATTTTTATAAATTTTTTTATTAGACTTATTTCATTTAAAGATTTAAGAATTTAAATGGTTTAATTTACAAAAAAAAAATATTAATAAATATTTCTTATAACAAAAAAAATTTAACTACTTCATTATATTAAAATAAAAAAGGATAATAATAAGAAATCAAATTTAATACTGAGAAATTCTATAAAAATACATAATAAGAAACTAATAAATAATAAATTTGTAAAAATATGATACTATCTAAATTATATAATAAAATTAAGAATTTTTTTTATTTACTATTTAGAATTATAAAACTTTTACTTATAAAATAAGTAATTAAATATTTCTTATAATTAGTAAATTAAACAAAAAAATTGATACATTAATGATCTGATGTAAAATTTTATAATTGATAGTATATAAATATAATATGAAAAATTTGTTTTACCTTTTTATAAAGGCTAAACTTAAATTTATTTACTGTAAAATAAATAATAATATTTATATAGTTGTCAAGTTTTTTGATCAGATTATAAGTAGATTTATTAGAAAAAAATTTGAATTTTCTTTTTTCTATTATTATTTATTATTATTTATTATTATTATTATTATCATCATCTATCAAAATAATTATCATTATTTATTTTTCCATTATAATAAATTATTAGAAATAATTTTAAATATAAATATAAGTCTTTTTATTATCATTTTATTTTAAAATTTTAAATATTAACAAAATAGAAACTATTATAAAATTTATATTTTTTATTTAAAATAGTATTGATGTAACAAAAATTTTTTTCAAATAATATATTTATATTATATATAGTTTTAATCTGTGATTATGTATTTTACTGAGATTGTTTTACTATACAGTCAACCCTCTCTAATGCACCCTCTCTAAATGTATACACTATATATTTTCTCTCTAAATACACGCTCTTGTTCAGTCCTAAGCATATAAAATTCATATAAAAATTTTC